CCCATGGATTTGATGTAAACAAATTTGGGATTTACTAATCATAGAACGCACCTTACACCGACCTCACAGCCTATCCCACTGTGTATTGGGAACATTTCCCTATGAATAACAATACAAAGTATAGAAGATGTTCTCAATGTGCCACTACAAGACATTGCAAGGTAGGTGTGAGGAGCAGATCCCAAATCATTGTAAACACATTCATAAGCATAATATAAAGCTCTTTTTTTGGGGGTTTAAAATTGGAAGTTATATCGTATGTGTTTGGTTCCGTTTATGTTTATTGAATAAACGCTTTTACTTTATTTGCTGGTAAAACCGAGAAATACAATAATTGCAACCATTTATGATAAATAGGTGCCACTTCAGCGTAACATTGAATAAATGTCTGGCCATTTGTGGAAGCTTCAAAAAATAACTTCTACAAACAGTTGGCATGCATATAAACCAAAGTTCACTTTTTACATTTTCAATGTATGCAGAAGAGCAAGAGAGAGAAAATGCTGAGATGGTGCCTATGTGGCACCATCAATAAATGTTTACTAAATAAACGTAAACGGAACCAAACACCCTGATCATCTTGCTTCCTACATCACTCCAACACTTCCAAACAAATAGCCTTCCTCCCATTTTCATTCATTTTTGGTATAAAGTAGGAATCACTTTGATGAGGGGTAATTTGGTCCTCTGAATTACCTCGCGACACATAACATTCATGAACAATTAGATGACATCTCAGCACCAAGTAAGCAGATCACCTCGGTAGAGAGGCTAGCATCACCTCGTCCAAGGCTGACCTATGGTACCTTAGCCTAGCCAACCTGAAGGACCTCAGTGTAAGGGACAACCTCCTTCGAGGACATGCTAAGCTAACTAAGATACAAGTAGTGACCTATGAGACGTGCTCGTCGACTTATTCCTTAAACCCATTGTCAAGACCGAATTCTTTGGGGTAACATCACTCAACCGTTAAGCCTACCTACCTGCATTGTCCACACCAGAGTAGATCAGATGGACCTTAGTCATATGCACGGATCACATAACTGACTGAGATATTCTCTCTGAACTTAGCGGGAGTGGTTCCCTGGGAATCTCGGGCCTGTTATAAGGGGCCTCTAGTTCCTTACACCTATATAAAGGCATCGCTTTCCTGTGAGAAGGTACGCCCAATTCAGCTCTCACATATTCTAGTTATCTAGCATCATGGTTCTCTCTAGAACTTCTAACTCGCTGACTTAAGCATCGAAGTGTTCACCTCAGGTAAAGCAACTTGGGCATTCTAATACTGTTTACCTGTACAATGCCCCAGAAAATTATATAGTTCGTCGTTATTTAGCTTGGCATCTGAATCACCCTCCAACAAGGAATTGTCCAGCTCGGCCTCGGAGTCATTAGCTAGCAAGGAGCTATTTGATCGTGCATCATCAGTATTTATACTCCTTAGACTCAACTTGGAAGAAGTATAAATACAAATATATACAGTGCAAAGCCTTGTATTTTATATTTCTAAACCTGCATTTGCATTTATACTTTTTTTCCAAAATGATACAAATATTTATATGTACAATGCAAAACCTTATATTTGCACAATAGATATTTGTATTTGTACTCTTCCCAAACCGTGACTGGATGAACATCGGCCGTTTAGTGTAATGAATCCAGAACTTGGCTTACTTATATTCTTGATTGTATTGCTGATATCATATGGAAGGAGAAGTGTATGGATGCCATTATTGATGCATGAAATTGCCTCGGGGAAGTTTTATTACCCTCAATCTGATATTTTGACATCCAAATCCAGTTTAATTAATCTAATCGAATTTTTAAATTGGACTCATAATTGGATATCAATGGAAGCCCTAAGTAGAGGAGTTGTATACAAACTGAACTAATGGCTACCCTGCAAAAGATCCCTTGGCCTAAATTGATAATACATAATGCAATGTAAGTGGTATTTAGAACCAGTTGCATTTCTTAACGAGTGTTTTCTCAGAAAATGGTGCTGCATATATAAGGATGTTGTTTTCTCAGAAAATGTTTTCTCAAGTTTTTGATGTCATATCAACATACTATTGCCAGCAATGGAAGAAAAAACAGGAAAACACCAAAAAAAAGGTGTTATTTCATACCACACCTTTCCTGATTTTCAAGGTATGTTCTGGGAAAACGTTTTTTTTTTCAGAAAAAACGGCTAACCAAACAGTAGACATTTTTCCACAAAACGGATTTCTAATGTGGTACTGATATAGTGCCATTTTCTGAGTAAACGACATTGTCAAACACAAGTGTCATTCAGTTCATAATTAGTTGGAATATATGCAATGGAGAGTCACCCTTTCACAGCCCAATTGGTGGAAACATCCATGGAATGCAACTCGTGGTGAGAAAAGAATTGAAAAAAAAATGAAATTCAATTGGACGCCAATGTTAACTAATGAAATACTTAAGATAATTTTTCATTTTATTGGTAAAGATAATTGAAACCTCCACCCCTCTGATTCAGTGATATGTTTGGTTTGACAGAAAATAAGAGAGAAGCAGAAAGAAAGATGAGGGAAAGTTCTTAACAAATTCTGTGAAGCCCCCTTAAAGAACTTTTCTTAATTTTATGTTTCTCTCTTATTTCTTTCAAACCAAATAGAGCATAGAGGAAGTTTTCAGGTTGGCATGAAATCCATGTTAGGCTCAGTAGAAGAAATAACTCATGGATACAACAAACAAGGGCTCCCAGCCAAAAATCACATTGCTGAACCAGAGCTACCATTGCACTCAGATTAACACAGTCACCAGCATAACTAGCTTCTTCTCCTAAGCTTATCATCAACTACATAGCTAGCTAGCTAGCTTTGGCTGCTAGTTGCGTCTGATCAATGCCTGGACCAATCATTCTGCTCTGATTCGTTGAAATTGAAATCGCATGCCTCAACTGCTGCTTCAATTGATAAGAACACTGATTCCTGCCCAATGGCATCTATGAAACTTGACAACATCAACTTCTCTAGTACTTCTCTCCTGGGGTTTACTATTATCATCTGCACAGGTTATACAAGCATATAATTTTATATTTCATCTTAATTCAGAGGGGAAAAACAGGACTGAGAGGAGATATTGTTGCACCTTAATTCCCTTCTTTCTCATGCTGAGGTGAACTTCAGTTAACATTCCAATGCCAGTCATGTCAATAGAAGTAACTCCTGTGAGTAACAGAACCAACCACATTTAGATTGGCATCAATTAGACACCAAGTTCAGACATTTTGAACAACCAAGAACCAATTTTTTTTGAACATTTCACAAAATGTTGCTTCTTTGTATCAGACCAAAATGGAAACAGAAAGAGTAGTTGTGAATTTATGTATTGCTTATGCTTACCTCCTATATCTAGAATAAGATGTTCAAGCTCACCGCTTTTGGAGTTTAGATTGCCTCTTTCATCCTCAATCCACCTTGAAATCCTAATTAAAGTGTGCAATATATGTCATTGAATTCGAAACCCTACTAAAGTATTTCACAAAGTCATTACCCAATGTTGGTCCAGCTATGTAAGGGTTTTGGAGGGATAGACCCGATACAATTCTAACATTTGGCATTACTTCTGTACAAAGTGGTGGCTGCACTCAAACTTGAACCCATGTTCTCACGCTTGCCAGGATGAGATTTTGCCATTACACCAAGTAATGATCCCTTTTGTTACAAAAGAAATCAGCTAGTTCAAAGAGGGTGGATATTACTTACCTTTCTCTGATGTAAGAAGAATTTGCGAAGTAAATTGGGGATCCCAATTGCAGGATTAAGATGCCTTGGGTACCAGATGCAGATGGGTACTGCTCAATATCACGATACATCGCCGAGCCTGGTATTATTCCAAGCTTGGATGTAGCAGGCCTGGCCATGTACAGAAGCGCTCTGACTATTGAAAGTCCTGTCTGAAACAAGAAAAATAAAAGTAAATAGATTAAACTCGAAGAAGAAGTGATTTATTACAAGTTGAAGGAATTTAAAAGGGTTAGAATAGATCAAAAAGGACATGGGTTGAAATAGTAAGAATGGATGCGATAAGGCTTAAATGATGATAATAATGAGATTCTTACAGACATTAGGAGGCCAATGTCCATGCTAATAAAAGCAACTCCCAGGAAGGCAGTCATACAGATGCAAAAATCAAATTTGTCAACCTTGAGGTAGCGATAAGCCTTATCATACTCAATGAGACCCAGCATTGCAGACATGATGATCGCTGAAAGGGCCACAAGAGGGGTGTAGCTGAAGAGAGGAGCCAAGAATAGGAGAGTCAGCATCATGCATAGAGACATCACTATATTCGACATTGCTGTCTTGCATCCTGCATTGTTGTTTACTGCAGTTTTTGAAAATGGCCCTGCATACGAGACGTTTAAGCATGTCAAAAGAAAATTGATCATTCATGGACTGTTCTGCATGCAACACTTTGCATTGCAAATTTCATTTAAATTGAATGGGCCGGTTGTAAATTTCATTTACATTGGTATAACCCCCACTTTATGTGAGAGAAGAAAGATAGGAAGAAGGTGGCACAAACAGTGCAAATTTTGCACCAAGTAGGAATACAAATCATAGTTGTAAACAAATCGATGCAAATATGAGCTGGGTGTAAAATTTGCATCTTATTCGTGTAAACAAACGGAACCTTAATAATATATAATTAGGAAATCAAGAAAAATCTCAAAAGTACTCCAAAAACCTGTAGTTAAGTAGCATGAAGTGAAAGAACCAACAACATTCATCAATCCAAAAGCTATCATTTCCTTGTTCCCATCTATTTGGTCATTTCTCATTACTGCAAAGCTCCTTCCTATTGCTATTCCTTCCTGCAGAGATGGTTTTCAAATCATACTCAACCTATGCAGTGAATAAAATTTGCAGAGAAGTTCATTTCAAAGAAGATAAGATAAATAAAAGTCTACAAAAGGCTCAGTTTGGAAAGAGTGTAAATACAAATATGTAGATTGCAAATACATATAAAATAATACAAAATATAAGATTTTGCATTCTACATATTTGCATTTGTACTCCTTCCAAACTGATCCAAAAGCACAAATACTTGATGCTAGTGGTCTTACAGATAGAGCCAAAATGCCTGTAATGATCCCAGCGCTAAGCGTTGCTGATAGGTATTTAGAGTCGAATCTTAAATCTTTAATAGAAAGAGGATTTAATCCTTTACTCAGGTGACCCACCTGTCAAGATATAACATACAATACAGATGTTAGGTAAAACCCAAAACAATCAAACACACAATAAAAGGGAAAAGAAGGAAAAAAATGGGTCATTCATTATGAAGTCTAAGGCTATGTTTGGTTTGAAGGAAAAGGTAGGGAAAGGCAAGGGAGCCTAGATTTGTAAAGGTTTTCTTACCTTTTCCTTCCTTTCCTTATTTTTCCTTCAAACCAAACACAACCTAAGAGTTGAATATTGTTACCCTTAGGGGTGTAAACAGATCGAATTTGAATCAGATCAAGCAATATCCGAATTCGAATCCGATTAAAAAATTCAATATCCGACGGATATTGAAAATTAATATTCGAATTCGAATCTAATTAAATATTCGATTCAAATCGAATTTGACTAATTAATTATTTAGGTAATTAATAAATATTTTATTTATACAAAGTATATAAATATATAAATTATTTATATAATTTAATTATTATATATATAAATTATATAAAATATTTAAAAAGTTTATATATTATATATAAGAATTAAATAATCGATCGAATTTGGATATTTATCGAATCGAATCAGGTCATATCTGAATTCGAATCCAATTAAATATTCCAATTATCCAAAATTGATTCGATTATGCTAAATCTTGATTTTTAAACTGAATTTTCAAATACCGTTGACACCCCTAGTTACCCTTGGATTATGAAAACCAAGGATAAGGATGCTAGTGCATAGGACTAAGTGGTAAACTTGCCTTCATCAATCCTATTGAATTTAGGAATGGTAACGGG